AATATGATATTATAAATTTGAAATTAGTAAACTAATCAATCTAAATATCAACATTAGAAATTATGATTTGCTTTTTGTTTTCGTTAAAAATTCTCCGTATAACTAAAAAGAAATATTTAAAAATAAAATTATTTTTCTCGATAAAATATTTAAAAAATAATAATAGTATCGTAATCGATATATTTAAGTAACTTCAGCAATTCGTTGATGTACGTTTGACAAGTGTACCAATTGTAATTGTAGTAACAAAATATCGTCCTCAAGGATTGAATGAGTTGAGTACTAGTTTTACTAATTTACTTAATTTTGAGCAACAAAGATTGTCAAGTAGAATGATGAACATAAACAAGTGATGGAAATTCAAATAGTATAAACAATGTTAGAGAATTGATTTCATACCTTTTCATATAATTTCCTCCCATTTTCAATCCATGTGTAAATTATAATTATCCACTTGAGTTTATTTAGAGCTTGTTTACCCCTAATCCCTTAGTAGGCAAACGTATCCCTTGAATTTGAATCCCCAATCCCTTAGGCCAATTACAAATTCAACAAGATCATGAAGAACAATCATATCTCAATTCAAACTAACTAGTCCTGCCCAATTTCCCAATTGTGACAACATCTAATCTGTTCTATTTATAAACGCAAGCAATTCCCAATCTCCCAATTGTGAAACTGCTCATAGAATAGACATTAAAACATAAATAGAACACTGGGATAATTAAAATGAACTTAACATCAATTGAAAAAGGTTCAGAAAATATAATCCAAAGCACTACATCAATCCACTAACAAAAGGAAATTTAGTTCTGCATAATGGAAAAAGAAAAATCAAAAGCAAAAAGTTCCGCCAAAAGTTACAGCCAAAAGCTCCAAGAAGAAGACGAAGAAGAAACCCCCTCGTTGATGTCGGTGAATCCTCTTTTTGTCTCCCCCTTCCACGTGTTTTCATTCCTCCCCATCATTTCCACAAATTCCTCCTTTTTAGGAGAGTGGTTTTCCTTTTCCCTAACTTCCTCCAATTTTCCTTTAATTTAATCTTTTTAAATCATTCATATAATTGTTCAATAACTGCTCTTGGAAACTTTCACAGCCCATGGAAAACTCCCCACTCTACCTGTGTTCTTCTCTGCTTTAATTCTGTTTTCTTACGTGAATCCACAGATTACTCCACAGGTTGTGGGAACTTTCACAGCACAGTTGTTGAACTTTCTGTTTTGCAACTCCATTTAGAAGCAACATCCACATGTAACTCCACAGGTTGTGAGACTGTTCATAGCTTGGTTGTTGAGCTCTCTGGATTCATCTTGGTATCTTGTACATCAATTCTTCCCAAATTGTGATTTTGGCACTTATAATCATCAATCTACAATAAAAACACAAAATGCCAATGTATGATCCGAAACAGAGATAATCCATGACTAAATCCTTCAATGAATGCAATTATGCATGCAAATGACCTAAACTAAGACATGAATGCAATTACATGTACTCAGACATCACAAATGTTATGCTGTTTTGTGATATTAATCTGGTTGTTTGAAATATAATTTGAGTCAATACAAGGTTTATTAATGAAATATTAAATTGTTCAAAAGTTTAAAAAATTATCAGCTTCATGTATGCGGTGAAATCTTATAACTTAATAATTATATCATTGAAATTTTACATATACAAGTCATTAAATAAAGTAACCTTAGTCACTCTTAAGACGATCATGATTGATAAATATAAGAACAAAATAAACTTTATGTATACAAGAATAAGACATGCTTTATATGACTTTAAAATACTAATTTAATTTTATTCGTTGCTTATTGAAAACATGAGAAAAATGATGACGGAGAGGCATGAATTATAAAGAACAACCAAATGTCTTTATGGGAAAATATACTTAGTCACGATGTTAACTAACATTCGAAACACCTAAGACTACACTTTTTAAAATTATTTTTGACTTTTTTTTTCCTCACGTTATTACTATGTACTCTTCGGCAATTTCAGTACTCAATGTTTAATTTTGTAATTTAATATTTTAAACTATGGTTCAATATTGTTCCAAGCTACATGCAGGAGAGAACAGAAAGCATTCCCGGTTCAATTCTTAAGTCTTATATGCTAGAAAGGTGCAAAACTAACACAAGATAAATTGGTTTTCTAACATTGAATTATAAAATGGTACATTTGAGTTAATTTTTTTGGATCCCTAACTCCAATTCTCAATCTAGCAAAACTTCAACATTTCAGTGATTTTCACATAACTTTGGTGAACACAGTTAAACCGTAAACGTCTTCTCGATCAACGTCTTCCCTTCCTTTCGCTTTAAAACCATTCCTGATGGTCTACCAGAATCTGACGAGGAGGCCACACAGATACACCGTGCGATCCCCTTAAAAGAACATGCTTTTTGATCCATTTAGTTCCTGTAACTTTCCTAGTTTCTGACGATGACATGAACTTCACCTTAATTACTGTCAGGGAACCAGCATCCCATGATGTTCTTTTTTGGACTATAAACGCTTGTGGGCTCATGTGTTTCCTTCACTATAGTCAATTTGATCGACCCAAAGGGCCTGGCACCCCTCAAAGGTACTATATATGCTATATATTAATTTCTGTTCGTTCAGGATATGTACTTGATATATGTTGATGTCGATTCTGATTCAAATAAATTTTAAGTGAAATGGTTTATATTTACATTTTCATTTTGAAAACAAGTTGTTCAGGAAAACTTTTCTAAAATTGAAACTCTAGTAAAATTTTAAACTCAGAACCGATTTCTTAAAGTAGGAGCTATTTGTTTTATAAAACTTGAGTTACAGACATGAACTCAGTCCATTACTTTCCTGTGCTTGCAGACATGAGTTATATAAGAAATGGGCATTTGGAGACCACCATTGATTGAGTACCTGGTATCAAAGAAATTTTGTCGAGAGATTTCCCCAGCTTTTTCAAAACCCACATGACATTATGCTGCAGAGTGTGGGAGACCTAAGCATGCTTCTGTAATCATTTTGAACACAATTCAAGTTTTGGAGGTTCTTTCCTCCATTTTTACTCCTAAGTGGTCCCTTTCTCTTCAATCATGTCACGAATGAGGACTTTAACACAATTGGGTCGAACCTTCGGAAGGAAGATAGACTGTGGGGAATGGCCCGACTTGAACACAATAGCGTTTTTGTTATTTTTTTTTTTAAATAAAACAGTCAAGAAAATATGAATCTATAAATTATATTATTAAATACATAAATAGAACAACAATAACAAAAAGTAAATAATTTTTTTTCACACGAGAGCTTTGTTCTCTACATTACCTAACATCACTTGCCCTTTTTCTTTTGTTTATTAACAAGAAAGGTGATTGAATGAGAATAATTAACGCATACTAAGATTTGTTCCAACAGCACTGAAATTTACTAGATAATAAATAATAATAATTTAAAGATAATAATATAAAACATAATAATAATATGAATAAACTATTTATCATATTTGCAAGTATATATTGCGCTAGATTTTGATTTTAATAAAAAACATAAACCACTCTAGGCAGTATTCTATAAATAAAACATCAAATCTTCATTACAGTAATACGATAAGTCCACAAAAATAAAACATATTTATTTTAGTGCCATGCTAATCTCTGATTTCATTCAAAATACTAAAGATCAATAATTGAACTTAAAAAGGGGACGTGTACACTTAGGTGTACGTTTGTCGAAATGTACGTGGAAAAATGAGGAATGAAAGATGTGATAGAAAAACAGAGAAAATAAAATATCTAAAATACTCGAATATCATCATTCTCGGACAGTGGTGGTTTCTGATAGATTCGTAAATATTAGATTCCGAGGTTTAGGAAAGTGGAGGTGAAGGAATTGGAAGTGACCATGGACAGGAATATTGCAGAGGAATGAAAGGAACTTTCATGGATAGGTTCAGTATCAGTATCATCTGCTGCACCTTCAACTATGCATGCATTGGTTTGTTAGGTGAAAAGAATTTGAATTTTACTATTTACTTTATTATTAACATTTTTGTTAGTTATTACATTTTAAATAAAATTACAAGTTCATTCTTTTCTACTTTGAAGAATTGCTAAATATATTAAAGAAGTTGATAAAAAAAGTGCCATAAAAAAATATAATTTTTATCATTTGTAACTAAAAGTTATATGAATTCAATGAAAAAAAGTTGTAAGAAACCATTACAATTGGTCTGAAAGTTAGAAAATAAGCAAATAATTACATTGACATTTCCCTTTTTTATACATACTGTAAAAATCAATCGAGAAATTCACATCCGAACAAGCAATTAGTGCGTGTTTGATTTCTTCTCATCCAACATATATTATTCAGCATGGAAATTGACACGAACGCGCGTTATTAAAGCGGCATAAACATACTGAAAGCGACGTGATAAAATGGAAAATAGAGTGAAGAACACTACAAAGAAGTTTTATTTGAGAATTACTTAGTTTTCATCCTCTCCTAGAGACGTGAGTTATGGATTCTCTTTTTGTTTCGTTTTACAGGAATGTTGCAGAACATGATAATAGATTTCTCACACTTTTTATAATAGCAAAGATTCATTCATTAATTTCACTTCTCACTTTTGATTAGTACGTCCTACATGTGTGTGAGGATATAATCTTTAATATATAAGGGAAAATCCTTAAAGGAAAGGAGAAGAGAATGAAGATTAGATGAATGAAGAAGTTGTTTAGTCCATCTTTCGAAAAAGCCACAGGTGTGGAGAACACCGGTAATAGCTAAGCCATTATTTCCTAAAGCAAAAGCTTGTGGACTAAAAAAAAAATATGATATAATGTGGAAAAAGATGAAGAATTAATGTGATGAAAATTAACTTGATGAAGATTAAACAGTTGAAACTTAGTAGGTATATATATTTTATTAGTTCTTCCCTTGGGTATTTGAACTTTCTGAAGTGGCTGCTGTTTCAGAGGAGATACGCTGCTGGCTCTGTGAATCTGATCAAGATCAACCACATAATTAATAAACAATAATTGAAGTTATGCTGAAATATAGATATCATAAGCAGGTACGTAAATGATAAATAGCAATGTCATTTTCGACAATTATTTTCTTATTACTATATAATATCTTGGGCACATGGGCAGAGAAAAAATGGCAAACCAGATAAGACTCTTTAAAGAAAAGCAAACAAAGTAAGACCACGGCTAGTCTCTGACGAAACTCACTCCCATCTCACTTCTCATTAAGACAATTATTCACTCTTGCAAACATGTTTATGTGACACAGTAAAGAAACATTTGACAGAATCTTGCATGTAGTTTTTTTGCTTAGGATATGTGAAAATTGAGTGAAATGGAAAAACTGTTTTTTCAGTTCTGTGAATACAGAAATTAGAAGTTGATACAGCAGAGATTGTACTCACAGACGGTGAAAAAAAGGTTGTGTTTGCTTTGATGTGTGATGGTCTCGTTGATTCAAAAATAAAAGTTTATATAATCTAACATGCATGTGGGCCAACACATGAATGGCAGAAGATTTGACTGCCTTAAAGAAATAACTAGTAATATATATATATAAAGATAAATAAAAATTAACCACCCCATTGTATTTTTTCTTTGCTACTGAAATCACATGTATCCACTGTTACTTTACACGATGACCCTCTCTAACTCTGTCATGACTTTCCACATTGACCTATTGATTCATGGCACAACCGAGACAGCTCATTCACGTGGCTCTGTGGTTGCCCATGTGGACCCCATGCCCATATATTGCAGCCAAATCATAATATATAGTGTGTCAGTAAACGCATCATAATTCATACATCTCTGTCTCTGTCTCTGTCTCTCTCACTCGCGCACCATCTCTGTGGACTGTGGTACGTGTGTGAATGGAATATGTTTTTGAAAGAAAGAATAATTGAATGATGAAAAGTAATTAAAAACAACTAAATACAGAGTATAAGGGATGAATTAAAGGTACCAGTTGGAGAAGGAAAGCTTTGGGTCACTGGTGATTGGAGTGGGCGATATGCAGAGAATGAGACTTCCACGGGTGTAGGATAGTACAGATAAGATGGTCCAGGTGATAGACGATTTGCCTGGGGTGAGGAAAATGTGTTTCTTGGTGCTTGCACAGAGTAACCATAGTAATACGGGGTGCTCATGGTGGAAGATGATGCTCCGTAGACTTGTTGATAGTATTGTGGTTGCTGAATCTGTGGGTTGTACAATGTCGCCTGTTTTCGTACAATCATTATTCATTAACTTCACATTATCCAACTGCTCTCCACTAATACTTGCTAAATTCAGATATGGTCATTAAAATTTACATATTTGCTAATGACAAAGAAACAGACTTACTTGGTGGTGGTATCCATAATCGGGAGTGTAGGCTGCGTAGCTGAGAGAGAGTAAAGTCGAAAGGAGTTTAATCAGTGGGAAAATAATGTAAACTGCATGCATAACTGCATTTTTCTATGAGAATAAAGTAATAATTCAAAATAGCATGCAGTTGTGAATTATGTAATGTTTTTCGGGTAACATCAGTATCCGTCGTATATTGTCGTGGGTCCCTCGTTGATCTGTGTCTAAAGGGAGGAAGAAAGAGAGCTTGATTGATGTTTGTGTGCTAGCATTGAGGCCCCCGATACACAGTTCCCAAGTTTGAATTTACTATGACTTAATTCAGTGGTTGCTTTCTTTTGAAGATGGTGTGCATATTATGAATAACTGGTTGCCCAACCAATAAGCAGAAAAGGAAGGAGAGTATATATAGAAAGAGGGATTAGCTTTAATGTCAATATCTCGGGTATGCAAACAAGAGAGACACTTGAAAAAACAATTAATAAAGATCAATTATTCTTCACGAAAGTTTCATAGATTTTTTTTTTATCATTAGTTAACCTGACTGACTATGTTGTATAACTAACATGAAAAGATATATATGACCGGGTAAACTCAGTATACTAATAAGGTTAAGCTGATGAGTCACACTCTTTCGAAGAAATGAAACTGTAATCATTGTCACTATGTATATGCAACTCATCAAATTGAATAGCTTATTAAGAACCACGGTATTTCAATATAATAATAGCTTTTGCTTTAGTGTAAAGCATCTAAAGTTAATATTAGCATTTTCCAGTCAAAGGTACCAAGTAGAAAAAGTCTGCATCTCTATACCTTTTATACAATTTTCCATGCCTACTTTTGAACTCTAAGCTAAACTTTTACATTTATAGTATTTTAGAGCCCTGAAGAGTACATGCTGGTGCGAAAATGACTCGATGATCGAGAACATGCAAAAGTACCGAGAGCTGTGGGATTTATCTTGTACAAGATCATAAATTAAATTAATTGTTGAAGGACCACAGAGACATATATATATATATATATATATATATATATATATATATATATATATATACACACGCATATATACACGTATATGCACTGTCAGGGGTCACATATCTACCGATCGTAGCTGTTATCACTAGCACTTCTACTATTACCATAGTCGTCTGTAACTATCTATATCAATGATGCTACGTTTGTAATAAAGTCTCCATACGCTTTATTCAATTTACGGCATTTACAAATTTAAAACTATTACAAACAGATTTAGAGAAAGATGAGGCGAAAAATATTGAAAGCAATTGATTAACGAGCTAAAAAAATGCAGTTGATTAAGCATTAAGGAAGTGAGATGAGATTAAGGAAAATAGAAGGAGCACTAATGCACGTTATGTGGATGTGGATGGCAGAGCAACCTTTTCCCATCTGTACTTTATTTACGAGATGATTTTTAGGCTGACACTGATGCCTACTATAACTGGTGAGGAGCAGTGAGCAACATATGCAGACAGTAAGATGTAGTGCGTCTACATGCACTTCCCCATTAACATCATGGACCAGTTCCTTTGACTATGAGTGCTATCAAATTATGTTTTATTAATGCCATCACTGAATGAACAAGGCTAACTCAACTCACCCATATGGCGGATACAGAACAGCAGGTGCTGGCGGCAGCGACGGCGGCGCTCCCGCTCCCGGAACACTCTGTACTGTTGTTCCTCCTCCACCTTGAACTATATTCCTCCCTGCATTACCACCCACCAAAATGCCTTGTCATATCAAAAGACACGGAATAGTTTTTTTTCTCTTACTTTTATGGTAAATTATTTTACTTTTCTCTCCTGTTAAAAGGGATGATGAACATGTATTGAGAAAAAAAGTACTTGGATATTCACATATCAAAAGACAGGCAGTATGAAATGACGCATACCAAGAAAACCATGTACTATATAGTTCAGTTTTATACGTTAAGAGAGATAATATTAATAATGTATGAAAGGATGTAGATTATAACCTCGAGGTGGTGAAGGTCGAGTCCTTCCCAGAGAAGCAATATTGCAATTTGCTCTTCTGCCATCTATTATTGGATTTGGATCAGCACATGCTCTTCTTGCCGATTCTTGGTCGCAGAATGTTACCTGTTGTTGAATTCATGGTACATATATATAGTTTCGTTAACTTGGTGGTATTGAAGGTATGCGAAGCGTAGAGATGAAGAGAAAGGGAGTTAGTACATACGAAACCGTAGCCTTTGGATTTTCCGGTGTTCTTGTCAGTGATTATGACAGCTTCAAGAATGTCCCCGAACTGCTGGAAATATTTGCGCATTTCTTCGGTGGGAGTCTCCCAGGCTAGTCCTCCGACGAAGAGTTTGGTGAAGGTAGTGTCTCCGAAGGGTGACCGATAATGCGGGTGATGATGAGCCATGGCTTCAAGAGAAGAAATGGGTGTCCTTGTCTGTGCATGAAGACTGGCTGTCTCACTCATTTAAGCTCTTTGTTCTACTCTTCTGAGGGCCAAAATTCCATAAAATAATTCTGCTCTGTGGTATATATGTGTGGCTTCCCTAGTGTGTTGGATTTTGCAGCAGTGGAATCATTGCATTTGAAGAGGGTGAGAGAAGAAGGTGGGCGTGGTTTATGATGGTTGTTTGGAACAGAGGCGTTGGTTGATTGCAACAAAAATATATAAGGAGAGTAAAGAAATTTATTTTGAATAAAAGGGTGTGTGAGAGAGAGAGATCTGACAGGTGCTAACTCTAACTTGCTGGCAGAAAAAGCGAAGGAAGAAAGACAAGGGATTTGTGTTACTATATACCATCTCACTACGACTGTCAAGTGTGTCCTCACTGTCTTTGCATTAATATACTCACTCTTACTACCCTTAATATGCTTCTCCTTCTCTTCTTCTCCCCTGTTAGATTTTTCGCTTCGCTTTTTCTGTAACTCAACCACATTTACCAAACTTCCTTTCTTTTTTCTGTCTCTGATAGGTATAAGTTGCCTTGATTTCGAGGATCAAGGAGCCTCCTAGAATTAACAGAGAAAGATGATGAAAATTCTTCTTTTTTTTCTATTCATTTCAAGTTTGGGTATTTAACAATGTTCACGTTACCAATGATTGGCTACCCGTGAATTGTGGAAACAGAAAGCATCAATAACAGAAAGTACAGCTCAGCAAATATAGTGAATACTGACAAAATAGAAAATACTAGAAATCTTTCTACTTGGTGATGTAGTCCTGGAGATAATTTGGCATATTGTGCTCCCTACTAGGCCTCTCTCTCATATTTCCTCTGTTGTCATTGCTAGGCCCATTCAACACATCAGAATTTGGGCCAGAGCCTATATTGCTATCAGTCTCCTTGAAAACATTTACAACCATTCCTTCAGTACGGTCTTTTAAATTACCCTTTAACTCAAAATAAAAAGGAGATACGGACCCTCTCGCCATAATTCAATTCAATTCCTCATTTCACATTTTAAAGAGCTTGGAAGGGCAAAGGTGCCTCTTTTGCTGATGTAAGTAATTTATTTCATTTTATTTTTTAAATTTTTACGTAAGCATCACAAAATTTTATCTTAAAGTATATCAGCCGAGTGGGATGAAAAATTAAGAATGATGGTAATAACATGTCAAATCAAGCTTTTTATAAGCATGGATTGTTTTTCTGAGTTTTTTTATTACCGCAGGAGGCAATTAAAAAGGTAAAAATATGAGTTTAATCTCTTAAATAGTTCTTCCTTACAAGTTTTGTCTATTATATTTGATTATGGTAATAAGAATGTACTATGGTTATGAAGTGCAGCAACCTAACACAACGTTTTCCTTTTATGTTGGGACCAAACATATCCCACATGATCCCATGTTCCTGTGCCTCAATCCGCAAGTCAAAAACTATCCGCAAATCAACCAAAACGAATAGGAAAGGTAACAGTTGAGGTTTGAAAGGAAGCAAAGAAAAGGATATATGGAGTTCAGTTGTAGATGAAGGCCAATGGAAAATGATGAGAAAGCAAAGCATTTAGCGGCTGCGATGAAAACAAAATTAAATTCTGTTTTAACGAGTTATATATGTATACATAATACGTAAACATCACTATCGTTTCATTCCCTTGTCAATCGTGATTGGTGACAGTAACAATCTCTAATACCGACCATAACATAGCATATAACATGTCACACACACACATATATATTTTATCAATAATGGTAGACCATTATGTTGTCCACAACCCCACGAGAAATGAGAACCACAAATTGATGTTGCTCCCGGCACATAATTAAGAATACTTTTCGAGGATGATTCTCCGAGAGTTATAGTTGGATCATACATGTTTGGCACTCTGATGGTGTTGTAGAACTTGGGTTAATGATTATGCATTGCATGACTTTTTTTGCAAGTGAGCCTGAGCACACGCACAGATTGAGATACACATATATAGAGAGAAAAGGAGTGATTATCTAAGTTGTTGGCAGCGTTAGGGACGAGGAGACAGCTATAAGGAGGCTTTAGTTTTATGTTAAAAACTCTGGAAAACAATAAGTTAGTCCGTGAACTGGCAGTCCTCTCCACATGGGGTCATATCAGTGCTCAAGAACTATGAGCTGTATTTCCATCTACTTGCTTTTATGCTCAAACTTAAGGGATTTTATTTTAGGAACATTCACATTATATGTCACCTCCCAACCTGGCTTCCATCAACCAACACCCACCGATCAATCACCATTTAAGCTTGCAAAAATCTCTCTAGGCATACTCACTTCCAAAAAAACTTTTGAGATGATTTATTTTCGACATTTAATGTCCAATTCAGATTTGACGTTTTATTCAGAGATGTCAATTTTAATGTCAGATCCCCTTCTTGGACATCAATTTTGAAGTCGAATCCCTCCTAGACTGATATCCATTTTCTTTTTTTCCTTAAAAATAATAATTTGTTTTTTATAATGTTACCACACCTGAAATTAAGAAAATGATTCCAACACATCATAAAATTGTATATACTATGGGTTTTAAGCAATGGAGAATGACCACTAAATGTCGCCACTGAGATCCGTCAACTCGTGCACAAAACTGCATCATAAGCCAAAATTAATCGGTGCAAATGAAATTTAATCGGTGTAACCTAAAGTTAATTGGTGCAAAATAAATTAACTTGAAGAAAATCAATCAAACATACCTTGATCCAGCAGTGACGAATGCGAACGAAACAAAAACGAAAACGCAAAAGAAAGTGAGGCTCACGTTACAAGTTTTTAGGGTTTAAAAGGGCATTTGACGTCAACCCCCTCCACCACCGACATCTGATTGCTAAAAAAATCCATTTTGGCGCTACTTTAGGGTATTTTTGCAGCTTATTGATGTCCGGGGAAGGGGATTCGACGTTTCATGTGTACTAGACATCATGTGTGACATTTAATGTCTAAAAAGGGGACCTTTAAAAATAAAAAAAAAATTAATATTGACACTTAAAATGAAATATTTTCGAACGTTTTTTACATTCGTGGAGGGGGCAACCGAAGTCTAATTCGAATTAGACGTTGAAGGCTTGTAGCCAACGTCTAAAGGCAATAAAATAACGACTTTTCATATGGAAACTATTTGACCCATTTTCTTTTGTTAGATGTTAAACGCATGACATTAAATGCTACCCCTCGACCTAAACCTTATTAACCCTTTTCTAACTATTTACTTCATGCTTTTTCTTTCCTTCACTCAATTCATTGCTATGCAATCCATCCCTCCCCATTTCATCAAAATTTGTTGATTATTCCACGTAAATAGAGACAAGACTAGGTTAAAATATATTAATGCAAACATTAACTTATAAATTTGTTGTATATTACTGAGTTAGACTTAAAATTTATTTTTAGGTTGTAAATAATAACTTTTAATGATGATTTATTAGGGTGATTATAATCCACTTCCCATAATAATTTATGTGGTGACAAAGTTTTAAATATGATGAGATTTTTTTATACCGATTAAACCTAGAATCGGTATAAAAAGTGGCACGATGACAATTTAATAATAAATTATTACAAAAATTTGTTTATACCTCGATTAGACCTATAACTAGTATAGAAAGTTCATCGATGACAATTTCTTAAAAAATTACAAAGACTTTCTGTACTGACCCAAAATCGATATAGAATGTGGCGCAATGACAATTTTGTAATAAAATACAAAGACTACTGATTGGGCTTAGAACAGGCATAGAAAGTGATGTTTAATTTCTGTTTCCCCTGCATAAACGAGCTTCACTCATACTTCATCTTGTTAAGACAAAAATCGTCTAGAAAATAGATAGTCTTAGCAACCCAGGTTTTGAAGTTTAACAAAAACATTAAACGAAATCTTGTTGTGTAGGAAAAATTGTTTAAACCAATAGCGTCTAATGAAGAAGCATCTTATAACGTCTAAAGCCAAAAGCTCAAGTAAAACTTTCTAGACCAAAATGTTTAAATGAATTAGAAAATCATAAACAACGTCTAAGGAAAATTGTCTCTCATTAAAATCTCCAAATAGACTATATGAGTAAAATAAGTCATCTTCTTATGGAAAGAGAAGTCTAACACTTGTATAACACTAAGGATAAAAAGATATGTTTCATTCAATGCAATGTTATATCAAACAAAGCTTTCTATAAAAAACATTGCTTAACGCTTATCAACGTTCAAAACATTTAATACATATACAAAAAAGTACTTTGATGCTTTTATTCTTTGTTTCTTGATATCCTTGCAAATCAATAAAACAAAAATATATGATCAAAACCACGACATCTAAGAAAAAGACATTGTGAAGAAAGAAGAACATTCTGAGAATGTTTTCTTGAAGTTTTATGTCCTGTCACGTCTTAAAACTCAAGTTTCGCTTAAGGCTATGAGAAAAAATTATGAACCCTACAAAGTATACTAAAGTCAAACTTCACATCCAAAGACTACCAACTCTTCAAAAGTCAACTTCTTGATCAAATGGCCATCTTTCAAGAGAGGATACACACATACATACATATATATATATATATATATAAATGCTTGAAGAAAATAAGTGATTGATGAAAAAGCGGAAGATAAGATAAGAATAATAACAACGCGAAAAAGAGAGAAAAGTTAATGGTGACTAATAAAAATATGAGAAAACAAAGACATAAATCATATACATTGAATAATACTGGACAAAAGAAGAGAAATATACAACTGTATTAGAGAAAAACCTTATTACAACTAAAAGAGGAGATGGTGCCCGAAGCTCTTTGTGTGTGCTTATCCTTTGAAAGAAGGAGGAAGGAAATGGATAGTGAGATCACAGCTTTGTTGGATGAAGGATAGGTTGGGTGCCTTTATTGTGCATGAAGAATATGTCAGCACTTTCTATATCAATTATGTCTTCAAAATAGAGATTTACAACCGTCATTTGTCTTCACTACAATCATAAGATGAAGAGTCAGAAAAAAAATTGTGTTTCTTCAAGCTAAAAACATGATACCTATTTTTCTTTAACTCTAAGCTCTTACCTGGCTATATCTTTTTGGTTCCCTCTTTGGCTTGAGTCAATAAAATAAATAAAAAATATGGCTTTTCTCCCTTTGAAGTCAGTGGTAAAATATCTACACATTATTGTTTAAGCCGAAGCGATAGTAATTAAAAAAAAAAACTTTAGGCCGAAACTCTTTTTGTTCACTCTTTGGTTTGAATTATTTCAAACTGGGGTTTCCCTTTCAATTTGATCAATTGATAATAATGTCTTTCATTCTAATTTTGTTTTCTAATACTGGTTAGGGTTTGATCTTTAAAGAGACAAATGAAATATATCTCTTAAAACAC